CCCTCATGATGATTCCTAGCATGGCAGCCTTGCTTGATTAAAACAGGATTGTGCAATATGGCTGAGCCTAACAAAGGAGGTGTTCTGCTCTTTTCCTTAGAAGTAAAATGACCTCATTTACATGTAAATGGACTACCAGTGCTAAAATGTGGCCTTCCTTTAATAAGTGTCATATATTTTTAATAGAAATCTGCCTAGTGTGAAGCACGTTCCTTAAATCCGTTGCCAAACATGCTCCTTCCTGTTTGGAGCCCGATCCCAAACTGTTGCCAATTAGTGCCCATGCAATCATGACCCATTTGTACCAATTATGTTTCTGGCTCGGTGTTTCGTTTGGGAAGGTCTGTAGCTCAGGGGCAGAGGACATGCTTTGCATGAAAAAGGTCCCAGCTCCAACCTCTGACCGCTCCAGGTAGGACTGGCTAGGGCTCCTACCTGAAATCCCAGACAGTTGCTGCTTGTCAGAATAGACAATACTGAGCTACGTGGACTGAGTACAAGGTATCTTCCAATGTGCTTGAAAAAACTTAGTTTGTAGTGTACCCAAAAAATTGCAAAGGAAATTGCCACTCAAATCAGGGGTGATTTCAGAAGTTGCACAGGCATTTTAAAGTTTCAGGAGGCTACAGTGTCATAAAGCAGGGGTGGGAAGCTTTGCTCATCTCAAGGGCCGCATTCCTTTCTGGGAAACCTTTCAGGGGCCACATGCCATGGGTTAGAGGCAAAAGTGAGCAGAATTTGGCCTTTGGTGCAGCAAATTAGTTTCTGCACATGCAAGCCCATCACTCTCTATCCTGCTGTCTAGACAAGCAAGAAGCATGATAAGAGTTCAGGAATACATTCCAGCCAGAAAGGAACCTTGCCAGGAGAGTGCATAGCATGGCTGCTGAGGGATGTGGCTCAGAGGAGAGTACAGCCTGAGGAGAGTCTTGGGGGTTGCATTTGAACCCCCCCGAACCTGAAGTTCCCCATCACAAAGCCATCACATCCACGTATCTCAGGATCATCTGTTTTAAAGAATATTTGGGTGTTTCTCTTTCAAGGCATTGGGACGCGGGTGGTGCTGTGGGTTAAACCACAGAGCCTAGGATTTGCCGATCAGAAGGTCAGCGGTTCGAATCCCCGCAACGGGGTGAGCTCCCGTTGCTCGGTCCCTGCTCCTGCCAACCTAGCAGTTCGAAAGCACGTCAAAGTGCAAGTAGATAAATAGGTACCGCTCTGGCGGGAAGGTAAACGCCGTTTCCGTGTTCTGCTCTGGTTCGCCAGAAGCAGCTTAGTCATGCTGGCCACATGAGCTGGAAGCTGTACGCCGGCTCCCTCAGCCTATAGAGCGAGATGAGCACGCAACCCCAGAGTCGGTCACGGCTGGACCTAATGGTCAGGGGTCCCTTTACCTTTTAAGGCATAGAATCATAGAATCAAAGCACTGTAGAGTTGAGAGGGACCCCAAGGTTCATCTATGCAGGAATCGCAACTAAGGAATCCCTAGCAGTGAGTTAAATGCCCATGCAACATTTTATAAATTAAAGACAGGCAGTCAGCCTGTTTGAAGGAGAGTGACAGCTGAGCCAGCACAGAATTCCCTGGCATGTGTGCACCACTTGTTCAAGTGGCAAAGCCGACCAGATGTGTAGGGCTCGCATTGCAGCTGAAGGATGCCTTTCTTCATCCTCCGTAGACATCAAGCCAAGATGGGTGGGGAAGGGCTGCAGTCCAGCAGGCAGGGCATCTGCTTGGCATGTTGAAGGTGAATCAGTAAAAACAATGCTGAGTTAGATGGATCAAGGGTGTGTCCCAGTATAAGCAAACTTCTTAGGTGTACTTGCTGCTCTGGGGAGCTATAGATCAGCGAGTAGCGCATCTGCTTTGCACACAGGAGGTTCCAGATTCAGTCTGTGGCATCTCCAGGTAGGGCTGGGATAAACCTCCTGTCTGAAACCTTGGGGAGCCACTATCTGTCAGCATGGACAGTTCTGAGCCAGATGGATCAATGGCCAGACCCATTAAAAGGTAGATTCCTGTGCTCTTATAGGTTGCAAAGGTGAATCCATTTTCAGAGGGAATAGGCATCAGTGATAGGGAGTGGCTGTCTCCAATGGGCTTTATTTGTGAGGTTCTCTTAAGTTATCTGACTCCCTTGCCAAAGGTTTCACTCCAATCCAGCAAGGTCATTCTCAAGTTTGTTTCCTTTTATTGCATCACTATATATTGTAATCATATATATATTACAGGTACATTAACACAGAAGGTTTCCAAGCAGGGCACAGCATGCAGAAAAGGAAACAAAAATGCAAAATAACAGAGGTTCTGCACTAAAAAGTGTTCTCAGAATTGCCAGCAATTTCCGGTAATTTCCCGATGGGATGATTGACATTTTTTGGAATGTGATTAATAACAGTTCTCCTCCTTTTCTAAAACTGCAGGGATTTTGTCAAAGCTTTTATCCAGTTTAAGAAGCCAATCGTGGTTGCGATCAATGGACCTGCTCTCGGCTTGGGGGCTTCCATTTTGCCGCTCTGCGACATCGTCTGGGCGAGTGAAAAGGCCTGGTTTCAGACACCTTATGCAACTATTCGTCTCACTCCAGCCGGCTGCTCTTCGTACACGTTCCCACAGATACTGGGTGTCGCTCTGGTAAGTCTGCTTCCTGGATTATTTCGGTGGTCCAAATCCAGGCAAATGGCTTGGATCTAAAAGTGCCCTTCTGCAGGCACAAAGCCTCATTATCAGCTCATAGAGAGACCACTTCTGACTTAACGGAAGAGGATTGCATAAGGAAAGTGAGCTGAATCCAGAGTTTCTCTTCTGTTGGGACAAATCCTCATTCAACCATATGTGCAATGTTGTTTGCTATTTCTTCCCCTGAATCCCATACCTTTATGGTTTTAACTCACTTAATGCAAACCGAGTCCTTATGCTTTTTCAGCCTGAAGGCAGCATCCCCTCATAGCCAAACTTCTGGGGGCCACATGCCAGTTTTGGCTGAGGGGCTGAGGCAAAAGTGGGCAGAGCAAGACCCGTGACTCTTACCTTTGTACCAGAGGCTACATTCCAGCCATGCAGAAGTGCGAGGAGGATCTACACACACATTTCAGCGTCTTGACTAAGATATGTTTGATTGCAGGCAAATGAAATGTTGTTCTGTGGAAGGAAGCTAACAGCACAAGAAGCCTGCAGCAGAGGACTCGTCTCCCAGGTTTTCTGGCCCACAACGTTCGGGCAAGAAGTGATGCTGAGGGTGAAGGAAATGGCATCCTGCAGTGCGGTGGTAAGAAACGGGCAGTCGCTGGGATTGGCTAAGGCATGGCAATGTTCATTTTTGGAAACAAAACTCACAAACTGATATAGGAGTGTGGAGACATGGATTTAAGCTTGGAAATATAAGAAACCAAAACTGATAGGTTTGCCCATTTGTATAAAAGCATCAGCTACAATAACTATATATATATATATATATATATATATATATATATATATATATATATGGAATGCTTCTGGTTTCTTAACAAAAGTCTTTTTAAACATTTTTTTCAATTCATTATATAGCATTTCCACCACATAAGATAAAATGTACCATCTTTTTCTTTACATTTCCAACAGGTTTTAGATCCCTTTTATACCTTTTTGCCACTTTCTCTGGTGCAATGTACCATCTATACATCATTTTCATATAATTCTCTTTCAGTAAGATAGAATCTATAATTTTTAAATTCACCTTCCACATCTTTTCCCAGTCTTCCAATTGTATATTATGAGCTAAATCCTGAGCCCACTTTATTTGTGCTGACTTTACCATTTCATCCAGCGTTTCCCCATATAACAGGAGATTATACATTTTTTTAAAGTAATTTCGTATCATTACAATATCCTTAGGTGCTACCTGGCTTGCTCTATTTCTCAGCCTGAAGGGAATAGTTAAGACTTCTTTTATGTATTTACTGTAAAAGCTAATCTCATCTCTTCCAGAAACTTCTAGTTATCAGGATTGTTGGGAATAATAATAATAATAATTTAATAATAATTTAATATACTGTAAACCACCCTGTTATCTTCAGGTGAAGGGCAGTATATACATTTAATAAATAACAACAACAACAACAACAACAACAACAACAACAACAACAACAACAACATAATTAATATGCAGTGCTTTGAGGACTCTAAAAAACTACATAAAAATATTTTGTTATTCTTGTTACTGCAATCTTGGGGGGCTTTTTAGGGAAAGCTGGCAAGGATGCATAATCCTTTACTTGGGACAGGGATGGGGAGCCATGTTTGTCTAAGGACTGCATTATCTTCTATGTGACGGGGGGGCATGTCATTGGTGGGCGAAGGCAAGGGCAAAAGTGGGCAGAGCAAGAAGTGTAAATTTGAGCTTTGTACAGTAGGCTAGTTTCTACAGACATTCCTCTCTCTCTTCTCAATCCAGGCAAGCAAAGAGGCATTATCAGAGTTCAAGGACACGTTTCAGCCAGACAAAAGGAGAGGGTGTGAAGCAGGGTGGGTGACGGGTGTTGCTTGAGTGGGTGGATGGCATGGGGAGATCCTCAAGGGCCAAACAGAGAAATTTGGGGAGCCTGTGGGTGGACTCTTAAGTCCCGGAATAAGCTTGGGTTGGTAAATAGATGGGTGAACTGGTGGATAGGAGTAGTGTTAAGCACTCTCCCTTCTGCCCACCAGTTTTCCTCTGCAAATTTCTTCTCCACCCCTGGAGCGGGGAACATGTTTTCCATGTTGTCTGGCAAACATATGACAAACCCAACTTTTTCAGAACAAAAAAACCATTTGTTCCTCCATCCTATTTCCAACAGGCACCAACCAGATCCTTCTGAGAATCATCTTTGCTAAGCTTGCTTTTTATAATTTAGATACCTAAATCTGCCTTATAATAAGCCAGACCATTATCCTATGTAGCCCAGTGCTGCTTATGGAAATATTGTGGGGCTCATGGTGTCACAGGCACTAGCCAATCAAGGCTATGAGCTTCTGCTGCAGACTCAGTTTCTCAGAGAGGAAATTGTTTATTTGCACACACTACATTTGCACAGACTACATATGCACAGTAAAAGTTCTTCAAGAGTAATCCTGATCTTCAAATAATGTGTCATGTGTGGGATCTGATTTTCTACCCAAAGAAAAATAGAATATTTTTCTCACCTTTTTGTAATAAAAGATTGTAGCTCTGCCACATACTTCTCCAGCAAAGACAGAGCAGGTACTTGTTTCAGAGGAAAGGTTTGGAGACACAGCAAGGCACTTTTAATTAAATGAATTGCAGATAACATCTCACGTGGCATGAGAACCACAAAAGAAGCACAGACTGAAAAAGCACTGAAGCTCTTGCGGATTGTGCCGATAAGCACATAAATTGATCTGACAATGCCCCCAGCCGGATCCTGCATTCCCCATTGTTGTTTCCATTGTTATCCTTGTTTCTGATTTCATAAGATGATGAAATGTAGCCATGCACATAAGGAAGCCTGTAAAACAAGGGTGGGAGAGCGTCAGGCCTGTATTTCAGGACCAGGGCCGGCCCAAGACATTTTGCCACTTGAAGCAAAACAGAAAATGGTGCTCTGCCACCACTGTCTCTGCTGCCGCTGCCTCCTGAGGCAACTGGAGGCAGCCTGGGGAAGCCCCAGCGCACTGAAGATGACAAGAGAAGCAAAAAAGGAGGTCAGAAAGGAGCAGGCAGTGGCAGCCTCACTCTTCCCAAGCAGTGGCTGTGGGCAAAAAGCACAGGAAATGTCCAGTGGCATGGTCCTCAGGGGCCCAGATTTGCCACCCCTCCCAGCTGCCCCGAGCCTGCCACCTGAGGCAACTGAGGTTACCCCTCACTTGCCTACGTAGAGGAATGTGTGTACATGTGCAGAAATGTCTGGTTTCTACTCACTTTTTTTCTCGGGCTCCACCCATGGCTGGCCTTCAGCCCCAGAAGGCTGCCCATCAGGGAGTATGGCCTTCAGAATGAAAAAGCCCCCATCCCCACTATAACAGAAGAAGAAAGAGTGGTCAGGTGGAGAGTCACGAGCGAAGTTTACGATGCTCAATGAGCAACCTTCCAGGGGCCACATGCCAAAATAAAAAATAAAAATAAAATTTTATTTATATCCCGCCCTCCCCAGCTGAAGCCGGGCTCAGAGCAGCTAACAACAGTAAAATAATACAGCATTCTAAAATCAATTCATTATAAAATCAGTTCAAATCTAATAATTATAATATAATATAATATAATATAATAATATAATATAATATAATAATAATATAAAATATAAAAAGTGGCTGGGACCAGAGGCAGAAATTGGGCAGAGCAACAGGTGTGCCTCTTACTTTGATATCTTAGGCTACATTCCACCTCCAACAAAAGACAGAGGCTTCTTGACATACATCTCTCCATCCAGGCATTATTGCGTTTCAAGGACACACTGCATCCAATAAACAGTACGTGGAGAAGGTACAGAGTATGGCTAGTGAGGGTTGTGGCATGGAGAGAGGTCTGAGGGCCGAATAGAGATGCTTTGAAGGCCACATTCTACCCTGAGACTCCCCACCGCTGGTCTAGCACATAAAATAAAAGTCTACCAGAACAAAAAGTAATTCAGTAACTGGTGGGAAATGTTGCATAAAGGGGCCAACTGCATATCAAGGGGCCAGGTGGTCCATAATCTGGCTTTAGCCATTGAGAAGACCTTTTCTCTTGTCCCATCCAGACATTCTTCCCCCATAGGTGAGACACAGATAAGGGTCTCACTTTCTGGCCAGAGAACAGAGACTTTCCAAGCTGTATAGGAAAAAAGGCACCATCTTAGCTATTTCATCCTCTCTCCAACCATCTCTTGTCACCCCATTATCCCACCATCCAACTACAGTACTTGGAAAATGAATGTGTTAGATTTAGAACCTTTCTTGCCTCTTCTCTGGAGTTGTTTGTCTCACTAACATTCAGAGGTTTGGTTCCTCCTAAACTCCTAATCTGGCCGCCCTCTTGCGTAGTGACACTGGCCTCACTCATAATGGGTTTTACAGAGTTTCTACCTCAGGAGCACCTACTAACACTTTTGCAGCTGCGTTCTGGGCCAGCTGCTGTTTCCAAAGAGTGAATAAATTGAAATGATGAAATGAGCCTCTTAACAATTTCTTTTCTTAGGTACTGGAAGAATCTAAATGCCTTGTCCGGAGCTTCCTTAAATCTGGCCTCGAAGATGTGAATGAGAAAGAATGTCAGATGTTAAAACAGCTCTGGAGTTCTTCCAAAGGACTAGATTCATTGTTCAGTTATCTGCAAGACAAAATATACGAAGTCTGACATCCTTGCGCAACTCTGAAAGAGCAGGGAGGAAGAATGTTCCAAGAGTAAAGCGATTTCAGGCGTCACCAGGGTTTGAGAAAATAATATAAAAATCAAACCCAGACCCAGCAAATCCTTCAGAGGAATTTGTGATAGTGTATCTAACATACCTATGGTTGTGTCAGTTTCCTTGTGAGTTAAATAGAGAAGTTCAGTGGCTGTTCCTAGCAGGTTTGATTATCGTTCGACAAAGGAAGAGACAGATGTGTTAAGAACTGCATCTCAATGTACACTTGCCTAGAGAGAAGTGTACATTGCATGTGCTAGAAAGCACGAGTGTACCCCATCAAGGCATACTGCAAAAATCAATTGTCTCTTTTTTAAAATTTAATTTATTCTTGCTACTGTAAGCAACTTATCTTTGCATTGACCCAAGTGGCTCAGTTTAGAATTTGGGCCGAAGCCACACTTTCATGGTCCACTTTAGAAATATTTTAATAATTTTGTTTTGTTCGTTGAAAGAATAACCATGGAAAAAATTTAAAAGGGGAGAGTATAATTTATATGTATGATGTAAAAAAAAAAATATTTTGGAGAAAAGAAAAAGAACCTACTTGGATTTGTGTTTTCCCTGCTCTGTTGGTGAATTTATTTAATTTATTTATTTGTGTCTTGCTCTGTGTGTGTGTGCACATACATACACATTTGATTGTTTGTCTAGTTAATATATAATTATCATTTTCAGATTTCCCTGGATTGGACAACTGTTTTGCACGAGTACACAAGCTCTGTGGTTTACAGTAAACGAATTGAGCTGTGCGTACAATAAAAACAAGATAAAGCAGGAATGCTGTAGGGCATTAAAAAGCAGCAGAGAGTAGACATCATTTTAGATACCTTAAAAAAACCAATCAAATGCCGAAGCTGTGAGTTTTACACAAGTCTCCTGACAACTTGAGGCATAGGTAGCAGGTGCTACATTTAAAAGAAAAGCTAATATGTTTACTATTTTCTTATTAGCTCAACATTAATAACAGGGTGAATGGTGCCTAACTTGTGGCACCAACAAAGGATTAAGCATTCCTTTGTGCTATGAAACTTAGAACCTTACCTTCATGAGCCTCCTTCCTCAGATGTGATGTAGTATATTTTGGAGAACGTTGAGAGAGGCCAGCAAGAAGCTGCTAGAGGATCATGAATTAGACGGGGAAAGGCTTTCATACTTCTTTCATTCTCCAGCCCTCGGTGGCCAGACTCTCCACAGGTTTCCCTCAGGACAGTCTATGGTCATTTACTATTAGAATGTGACCCTAATGAATAGATTCTTCCATTTTGCCTCAGTTTATTATGTGTTTGAAGTCTCTGGAAAAATACCAGAAGGAATGCGTTCTTCAGATTAAGCAAAGAAGCTGGCAAGTCCAATCAAGATAAAAGGTGTGGGCTGTTCTAGGGCTTTGTAGGCGGGTCTGCATCTTCCGACAACTCTAAAAAATTATTGTTCTCTTAAGATTGCAAAAAAGGAAAAAAAGGAATCCTGGGAACAGACTGAGGGTTCACTTTATCTCTCAGATTTCATGGAATACAGAGATTGGCTTCCACGACTTTCCCTATCTGTCTGTCTGTCTGTCTATTTTGCTGCCCTTTCAAGGTTAAGTAGAACACACTTTCCATTTCTTTTTACTTTTCAGAGGTTCCAAATTCGACTACTGGGCTTGGATTTTTTTTTATTTTGTTCCGTTTTTTGCTTCATATTTGGCAAAGTTCCACCTAGTTAGAGCACATCCACGGGGATCTGCTTACAAATCAATGCAGAGTCTGGCTTCTTGTTCAGATTTGTCTAAATATTTTTGGAAAGCAATATTTAAGGTGGCTTGTGGAATGCTTGTTACCCACAAGTGTCAGAAGCCAAGGCCGCATTCCTCAGTCAAGGGCTGATGCCTCCCTTATTCTCAGTCGTGAACCGTCTTAACAAACCCACGAATCATTTTCGTCCAGTTGACTTCCTTAGAGTCAACGTGTGAACTAGAGTCATACCCTTGAATGTACACTTGCAGGGCAAATAATTGTATTGAAATATATGGGGAAACATCTTTCAAAAACATGCTTTCATGTCTCTAAACAAGTGGTGCAACCCCAAATGATGTGTTAGACATTTTAACGAACCAGTGGGAAGTCCATGCAGCATGGGAAAATTATTGCTCTGTGTAGACTCATGGGAGTACGACATGGTTTTGGTTTTTGAACAGCAGTTTTTCTTAATGTATCTGATTTTTCAACATTGTTTCTTCAACAGCATTTTCAAAACCCTCTCATTTGCCTTGGCAAATTAATAGCTGAACAAAACTGAGTACCATTTCTTCATAAAAATTAACTCTGAAAGCTCTAAAGCTTTTTTTAAAAAAAAGAATCATGTCTAGGTGGTTAATTTAATTTCCATTTATTTTTTTTAAGAAAAATGGGCAATGATTATTTTTTAATACACTTCCTTATTTTGTTTTCTCTTTCTATTGTCACTGGTTATTCAGCTGTATAGGTATACTGTATATATTAGACCGAATACTTTTATGAATATTCACAGTATTTAATTAAAAAATACATGCAAATTTGTTGTTAAGTATGTTATATTATTTCATGTAAATTGTTTTGTACAAATCTTTAAGGATTGGCAGTTTTTGCATTTGTAGATACGGTAAAATGAAACAATTTATTTCTGTGTGTTTCTCTTGCATGTACATTTTCGCTGTACATAAAGTGTGGCTTTAGTTGGGTAACCTTCTGTTTCAATGAATAAGCTGTCCAACTTTAATAAGTATATATTTTCAAAAATATAAACTTTTATATTTCCGTGGTAGATTAGGGTAAGCGTTTTAGGCAATCTTTTTCCACAATGGTTAACCATTATTTTAATCTCAAGCATCCTGGGGTTGGTGCCAATTGTTTTCCTCTTAGAATTCTAATACACACTTTTACACTTATATATGCAGGCAGGGTGTTGTTTTATTATTTCTTTTGTTTTTTCCCCAACCTTGAAATAACAGAGTTTAAGGTACAATTTGTAAATTTAGTGCATTTGTGAATAAGCCTTACCACTAGGTTGAATCAAATGTTGTTAACTGCATAAGTAAGATGGAGGGTCCAATTAGATGTGATGGCAACAGACCCATGTTGTAGAACTTTTATTCTTCTTGTTATAGTTGCCATCATGCAGATATAAATACAGAGGATGGGGAAAACTTCATGCCAGCCACCTTTCTTCACACATCTTTTTCCCCACTGAAACTCCCCCCCCCCCTCCGCTCAAGTTGCCTCCTCCTATCCAGACTCTAAAACCAGGTATACGCTCTCTAGAGGGGCAAGTTGCTAGGGAGAGGTGGTTCTCAGGATAGGAAACACACAGACAGAGAAAGTGTTCAGTACAACCTACGTTCTAAGGAATGAGTTGTGTCATCATCATATCTAATTAGATCTGAAGAAATTTCCTCTAAACCCCCCCCCCCCAGTTGAAGCATTCAGACATTTGGCAAATTTAGAATGCAAGGCCTTAATTTTTTTCCTTGTGATATGGATTAATACGGGTTGTTTCTTTCAAACAACATAGTTAGGCTTGTCGGTGTGGGTATTGTTTGATATAAACTCTGCATACTGTCCGCCCAGCCACATTACTCAGTCTCAGGCTCTCTCTTTTTTCGGTGGCTGGGTCTATAAAAGTCAAATCTGACTGAAGCCAACTCTCTTTAGGAGGCACTAAAGAAGTTTACATAAGGGACTTACAGACAATCTTAATCGTAGTGCATCTAAGTACGCCGTTTCCTGGGTGTGTTA